CTTTTGTCCTTTTTTCACTGGGTCCCTTTTAGTCTGATGTTTTGCCAAACATGGAAAGATTGTCACAGGCTGAAAAGACCTTATTGCAGCAACTGAACTGAATAACACGTTGCTTGAGGAGGCCCTCCCGACTCAAAGCAGATGGTGATAGAAGAGAGAAATGGAAGTAATTAAAACAGCTAATCATCAGTGAGATGGTGTATTGACGCCTTCCCGCCACCTGTGCTGAGCCCCAATTCACAACAGCCCAGACAAAAGAAAAAATAATACTCAACTTGCACAAAATGTGCACTTAAGCTAATTTCTTACTGTTTTATCGTGTTCTCATTTGTCATTTTTGTCTTGGCACGGCACCAAAGCCTCAGGGCACAATTGTCAGGCATAGTGTGGTTATGATTTTGGATGCAGCCTTGGCTGCAGCCAGGATTGTTTCCATGGTGAGACCAGTTTATTAGTCTGGTGGGTCTGGTAGGCGCCCTGCATGCGCTCACTGTGTGCTAAATCTGCTCAGAGCTTAATACTCTATATGGTTTAGAGGTAAATGTGTCTAAAAGTCCAAATACAATTGCATTTTTCCTTTAGAAACTTATGAGATGTGCATATTTTGTGACAGCCTGTGTTCTTATTCGTCACCCTCAGCTTCGCCTTTTTTATTCACAAAGCACTACTTTCCACAGGCCTCATTATTTAGTGTGTTCAACCCTAGTGCTTCGACCTGGTTTCCACAAATTACTTTTGTGAAAGATAGCACACCCCATGCCTACCTTAACCATTTTTACTATGAAGCTGTAAATTAAGATGTGTTGGGGGTATTGTAGTTTAGTGGTCCATGAAAAGATGGATAGAAGATATCACCTGCTCTTTACTGTGCAACAACCCGCACCTTAACACACCTATGCAGTCAACAACACTTCCTGCAACAAATGGTGGCAGTAGGCGAGCTTTAAAAATTCTGTCCGCAGTAATCTCTCGACTGAGTAACTATTTATATTCACATTGTGCGACCTTCAGGAAAATGTGGCTCAGCCTGGCCATTGGGAGCTTAGTGGTGTGTGCTGTAGAACGCTGAGGTCCATTAAACCAACAACGAGTCACATGAAGCGTTGTCATAAATGAGATCTAACCTCTAAAGTGTGACTTTACTGAGTCTCGGTGCAAAGCCACAATCTTAATGATGGCAGCTATGGTTGGAAAGGTGCAGTGTTTAAACGTCCTCTACTCTTTGTCCCAAGCCTTTGAGTATTTCTGGGCTTATGACCTGTACAGTAAATGACACTCATACAGCATGTTAAATGTTAATCGTTTCAGTAAAGGTGCTTTCCTGTATGGTTTAGTTAAAGCAAACTTTGTGTATTTATTTATTTATATGGGACAGCGCACATTAGCTCACAGAGTAAGATCACTCAGGTCTGCCAACCAGCTTCTGCTCAATGTGCCTAGGTCACAGCTTAAGCTCAGAGGTGATCGAGCCATCACTGTTGCAGGGCCACGACGGTGGAGTAGCCTACCACTGGATATCAGGCCCGCCCTGAGCTCCGTAGTTTTTAAATCCCTACTGAAAACTCACTTGTACTCTTTGGCTTTTGCCTCTAACTAGAGTCAGATGCCACAGCTTTCATTGTTTATTTCACAGTGCTTTGTGAGGCACTTATTTTATGATGGTGTGATATTTCACCGTGCTTGTGAGAGGTCTTATGACTTGTTTTATCACTCAGTGACAATTTTATGGTGTAGTATTTTTATTGTTAAGTACTTTGTAACGTTTGTTTAAAACTGTGCTATATAAATAAAGCTGCTTTGTTTTGCTAATCAACACTAATGTTAACAAACATCAATATAAATGTGCTGGAGTTAGCTCAGCAGCTAATTGCACTCGTAGTTTAGATCTGGTGCACATGAAACAACCAGACTGTGTGTGCTCTGGAACCAAATGGACCAAACTGCAGTATTTTTAATAGCAGATGTGTGATTTTAACTTTCACAACTACTACTGCTGAACAGGCAGCAGTCTTAAGCAAAGTGTGTAAAAGATGTATAATTATTTATGCAAATAGTTTGGTAACCATGGTAACAAGTATGCACATTAGCACATCAGGTGCAAGTATCTTTTGTTTCAGTAACATGAGTGCAGATATGCAGTAATCCAGACACCATATAAGGGTAAGGACGGTACAAAGTATAGTGAATGATCTGCACCATAATGCATTATGCTCTACAAATCAAGCTGTTCTGATGCAGTAACGATGCCTTGTGGCAAAGAGACTTTTATGTGGAGTGCTGCTTCAGCGCTGCCTGCACACATTAACACACCCTGGCAGAGCTGACATCTGCTGTTGTGACAGGTGTGAGAGTTCACTTTTATGATACAAAGTCACAGTCACTTCTCAGGCCCACATTGCACTTGGGTTCAGCATGAACTTTTGTTGAAACAGCAGTCCGTGCCAAAGCACATGAGTTAGTAGTGGATTATAAGTTGTGCACACACATACACAAACAGAGGGGAAAAGGAAAGGAAAGATGTGTCCTCTCAAAAAAGTTTCTAACTTTATGTATTAGTTTTAATCCCGTGACTGAGTTTGGCCAGAACTGTTTAAATCCTGCTCCTTTTAATGATCTGTCAGCTTATTCTTTACAGGGTGGACGTGGTGTCAGGATGCAAGACACTGATGCTTTACACAAATGAAACAGCTACTATCATCTTTAAAACACTAATAGTATGCTCTCATTAACTCTTCATTTTAAAGTGAATGAAACTATGAACAAACTGAGACAAATTTATTTCAGTGACCCATAGATGTTTAATTCTAAAATCAAGAAGAAAAGCATTTGCATTTAACCTGATCTATTTTACTCCACGTCACACAGCAGTATATTTATTTTGTTAACAAACCAGTCTTACATTAAACATGTGCATGTCAGGGTGGATGGCTGGGTCGATAAAGCACAGGACTCTGACATTGGAGTTCATTTAAACATAACGGTTTCAACAAGACCTTGGGTTGTAATTGCACACAAGAAGTGAGAAATAGATTTTAGCTTGAATCTCCGACCATCACATTATAGCCATATACAGTATGTGACATTTGTAGAAGTCAAAAGCAGGCATGAACTAACTCTCTTGGTTTTTCTTCACTTCACCAGTGGCCTCACAGGAAATGCCGACAGTGGAGGATTAGGGGCTGAACTGTGTGTCATACTGTTGTGACAGAACAGCAGAAAAAGCCGGTATACTGTACAGTGTGTCACATATTTTTGCTTTAACTCAAGGCTTTTGTCGAAGTTCTCCTGTCAAAATATTTACATAATTTGTAGATGAGGTAAACCACAAATGAATATAAATGATCAATATTCATCAGAAAGATAAATGACACCTTATTATTGGATAAACATGTGGATGCTTGTGTCTTTAAGTAGAAGGGGGGTTCACAGGAGCCAGTGATGGCATTCATCAAGTCCTTCATATCGACTGCAGAGCTATAATGTAATTTTGAGAGTAAAAAATGTTGCCCATTGTAATGCACCCAGGGCACACTGCATTCAAAACCTATTATTACCAACAACTTGTCATAAATTGTTCTCCGCCATTTTTTCTTCTGCATAGCAGTGTTAAATTACAATAGGCAGTATATATACATTCTATATACAGTATACAATAGTGTCTTAGAGGAAAATAGACTGATTATTTGTCTGCTACAGATGTTTAGCCCTAGTCTGTCATTATCTCTTCTGGTGAAAGAAAGACCCAAAGAAAGGTAACACAATTACACAGAAGGCTATTAGTGCCACGCTCTTAGTGTTGTGGAACTGAGGGTTGTAATTATGCAGATGAAGTTTGTGATGGATATGAGATAATTCCATTACTTGTCCTCATGTTTTTTTTTTTAAGTAGTGCTTCGCTCACTTTCCGCCGTGACATTAAAGGTAATGTTGCACGGAGGACAGCAGGGTGAAGACACATGCGCCAAGGTGCAGAGCTGTTCCACTGTGCCCTGATGTACTGAGAAACCTCAAAAGGTTGTGTCCTAAAAAAGTAATATGTCAGTTGTGTCAGTACTTTGGTTTATGATCAAATTTCAGCACAACTAATATTTTGGCAGCTTGCTGCTCATCAGTTTTACACATTAATATGCAGAAAATATAAAGAGGTGCCACAGAGACACTATCTGCTGGGAGTCAACATCATTTGAATAGGTTATTAACTAGTATAATATAGTGCAAGTATATCCAATTCCACAGCAAAGTAGGTGTCTGTGAACACTGAAATGTGACTCTTACAGTATGAGCTCTCTACTGTATACAGTTGTATCTCTATGATGCATGCTAGCGCGAATGAGCTCACGGCTAACAGTAATTGCATCTACGATAGTGCAGTACATTCCTGCATATATATCTCACCAATGCAAGGCAAAGGCAACGGTGTGGGTTCCCAGTTCTCCGTTGGCACACAGCTTTGCCTCAGTTCAATACCTCCGTTTCACACGGTTCTTAAGCTCGGTGTGTTGCAACCAAATGCGGCTCTTAAGCGTCTGATACAATGTCAAGAGCGCGAACAGGATGTTCGGTCTCCAAGGAGGGACAATTAACCTTATTGGTTAATGTGAGAGAATAACAATTTATCTGGTTGGCTGCACGCATTGTCACAAAACACAATGTTGTAATTGTACCGATGCTCTCAGCACTTTTCAACGCCTCCCAATGATTTCCCAGTGAACCCACTTCCAACCTATACTAACTCCCAATCATACTGTGAAACTAGCAGCCATACAGGGCCCCATCTGCTCTTAGCACTGGGTTACACAAGCATTCATGGTTTTCTCTTCTGGTCAAAAACTACAACATTATTTCACCTATCTGCATAATAGCAATGCAGGAAATCAGGATCCCATTCTATATGTGAGCAATAGTAGAGTGAGAGATCTAATATCAAAGGTAATAAATATGATCATAGAGGAGCATACCACACTTCTCATGACTCTGTGTGTCTGCTCCCTCCGCCACAGAGAGTTCACTCTGCAGGTTTGAGAGCCAGGGGTCTCGGCCTTTTTCAGAGAAAAGCTTGCAGCAGCTCCCATCTGTCATCAGCTCAGCGCCAAATGAACCTGTGCTTTACTCTGGAGCCAACAAGATGGAATGAGCCACTTCATCACGGCTGTATGGGGGCACAGTGGAAGCGTTGCACTGCTTGCCTTTTTGACAGCCAGCCCTCCCCGACTGCGCCTCCCTATGGTTACCATCAGGGCAACATAGTGTACTGCAAACTCACTAGCAGTACTACCACTGAGGTTGCATATACCTTTTAATGAACAGTTATTTACACTCACATAAAAGAGAAGTGTTAAGATTTATTTTGTTATGAAAGATTAAAAATTGTTTTTGTTTATGATTTACTTCTGCTTCAGTTACCAACTTCCTACAAGACACCTGCACAGAAAGTGCGATTATATAAGCAATAGCTTTTGTCAAATCCCAGATAAGAAAACACTGGTGAATTCCAGTATCTTCCTGAAAACTTTGTATTTGGGTTTTATGAACAAATTTGTTCCTAAGAACAGTTGATGACTGAGACCCAGTGTTGCAGCTTTTGACCTGCAGTTTGTACCTCAATCCATCATCTCACCTTGTTTTGAAAACCCAGAATAAAGCGCTTATTGGCAAATGCTGCCATGCAGTGACTTAACATGAATCAATTTTGTGGCAGAGTTTATAATTGTGATTATATTACTGCAGCATTTATGGTCTTTTTTTAATTTTATAAACAGGTTTTAATTACATCTGTATGCGCATGATTCATTATGAGAGCATATTGCCATCATCGAGACAGTTTCAATTACCACAGCAGCTGTTTGGAAGTATTTTAAATGATTATTAGATGAGTCTGTTATATTATTGGAAAATAGACCTTTATGGACTATCAAACAAATTGAAATTTAACATCACGTACAGTATAAAATCTAGCATACTCATAAACAACCCCAACAAGCCCAATGTTAGCCTTGATGTTGACACTTGATTAGCCTATAAACTTGTTCCTGTGGTTCAGACCAGCTTCAAGTGATGTTGAATTTCAAATATAAATCCAGTCAACCATGACTGGGCCTCAAATGTGAGCACCTCACCATAACGTTGATGTAGATGCCTTTTTTAAAATACTCACCAACCTCTTGCTGTCATTTGACATTACCCATACTGCATCAGTCCGAAGTACAGAGTCTGAGTAAGTCCATGAACCTCATGGGGTTCAACCTAATGCTCTTACATTAGTTAACACTAGCAATTATTATTCCAGCTCTCTTCAATATAAAGTTTCCTATAATTTCCCTCAACTGCCAAAGCTTGAAAATATAAAGAAACAAACACCATACACCTCATTGGCATTGTGATATTAGCAATACGTGGTTGCTTGTGACAAAATTTTTAGGGAGGATGACTTACCAAGACACACAAATAGCAGAGGAAATTACTTTTTTTTATATTTTGTTGAAGCTTTGCATAGCCACATCAAAATTATAATATGGATATGCCTCACTAAACAAAAGAGCAACCATATTTTCAATCTGGTCCTTTCATTTTCCTCATCTCTCCCTTCCTCCTCCTCTCACCGCGCTATAGACACAATCAACTTTTCACCCTGAATTAAGGTTCATAGTCTGGCAGCAGTAAATGGCTCTTGTCGTCATGGGGTCTCTGTTAGCAGCCGAAGCTCTCATACTGTCCTTAGACTGTCTACGTTTTATCCTTTTTTAAATCTATCATCTATAATACTGTCTGCTTTTCTGTCTTAAGCAAAGCAAAAAGAAAAGGACAAGACATTTGTACAGTATGAGTACCCAGGAATATGTCCTCTATTGCTCGTTGCCACCACAGTCTGTGTCCACATAAAAAAACATGAACCCAACAGCTACTCATAACACCTCTGCAATGCAGTTCTTTTTGTTTTATTCTTTAGTTTCACAATGGCTGTGAAAATCCCAAGAGGAACTTGAACTAAACGAGGGACCCTGTTTGCTTAAAAGAAATCCTCAGCCGTCGGGTGGGAATGCTTAGAAACACCAGAACCTGTAATCACAATATTCTACTCGCTGTCATAAGTGTCCTGAACTAGCAGGATAAAAACAATGTTATTGGATGGTGCCTGAGAGAGTTCAACTCTCAGCAGCTTACGAAAAGCAGGAAAACAAAACAAGCAAAGAAGAAAGAAGAAGTGACAACTTACAGTAACAGAAGTTTTATGGGGGCAACTAAAAAGTGTCAGTCAAAGGCTGAGACTAGTTTGTTAGTTTGTGAATTAGTTTCTGTCGGTGTCATGTCAAATCACACAACAGTGCCAGAAGCGTGTTTTCTTTACAATCAGCCGAAGATGTGCTGACAGCAGTGGGGTAGAGAACAATGTCATAATAGCTTATATCTAGACATTTTACTGTTCAGCCATGAAACTGCTTTTTATAGAAGAATGACTATGAAAAACACAACCTCACATTGCATATTAGTTATAAAACCACAATCCACCTTTGATAGATGTCTTGCATATTTGGCAGCTAAATGATATACAACTCATTGACCGTGGTGGAAAGTAACTAAATACATTTACTCAAGTATTGCACTTATGTACAGTTTTAAGGTATCTGTACTTTACTGAGCATTTTCTTTTTGTGCTGCTTCATACTTTGACTTCACTACATTTTAGAGGCAAATATTGTAATTAAACTTTAGTTACTGCTCACTTTTCAGAATCGGATTAATAAAACAAAAAACAATATATTCATAAGACTTTACTGATCTCTGATAGAAAATTCACAAGCTACACAACAGTAATTCAAATTGAAATCTTGTAAACTAGTTAAAACTAGCTCCTCCTTTACCAGCTACAACTAGAAAATGTGATGTACATAATAATGCATCAGTAATTATAATTCAGTAATGTGAAATGTGCCATTCTGCATGAGTACTTTTACTTTGTAGCACTCGATATGTTTTGATGTTAATGCCTTTGTGCTTTTACTTAAGCAACAGTTTGAATGCAGGACTTTTACTTGTAACAGAGTACTTTTACACTGTGGTACTTTTACTTAAGTAAGGGATCTGAGTACTTTTCCAGCACTGCTTATCGATACTAGCGCCACAGAGAAATGTCCTGTGTGTGTCATAACCTTTATCTTCAGAACTATCAGAGTCACACAATCTTAAAGGTTTTCAAACATGACTGAGGACTGATCGACACATTCATCAGTTTTCAGTTTCCACATTGTTTTGGACTTTTTCTGCAGTGCTTCTGTATTCACAGCACAATTATTTTTGCTGTCAAATGGTGTATGTGTTATTTAATTTGCTTGTGTTTTATTTATTTGCAGAAATGTTCTTTCTTGCCAACAGGAACAAGAAATCTCTGGGCTCCTCTAACCTTCAGGCTGTCACTCATTCTTATTCTTTCCTTGTTTGTTAAAAAAAAATGATTTTCAGCAGTGCATCTTGTATTGTCTCGATTTTCCATTTTAATCCAAAGAAATATATCAAACACCGCCTCCCATGGATTACATTCACTAAGCAAGTCACACATAATAGATTTGGTCAACTGCCTAAAAATACAGCATATCCTGGGTATGATCGCACAGATCTTCTTATCTCTGGTGCAATCTTATTGCACAGCTTTGATAAGCCTTCCCGATGACTGAGGAGGTTTTGAGGAGTTTTTTTTGCATCACTTCATCTTACTTTCTCTGTGTGGAGGGAAATGATTTACTTAAAAATAATTGTCTTCAAAAAAATTAATCCTCAGTTTCACATTCTAGAGAAGCTCTGTCATTTCAAACCGACACACTGCATTGCTCCACCGGTTTTAAGTTATCATACCGATAATGCAAGGCTGTGCGCCAGTCTGTTGGTTTAGTTCACCTTAATGGAATGACATCAAGGTGCTTATACAGTCGGGTGAGGAGGGAATGCAAAGAAAAGAGGCAGACTGTGTCATCCTCTAACATTCTACCTGCCATGCATTAGGTGGTTACTCAGGCAACAGAGCTCGCAGTTTGATCTAATGTATTACACACCTCACACACACACAGGAAGCCCTTGTCT